GCGGCACTCCCCGTTCCCTCTTCTTTGAAGGGTGTACTTCCTCCCCCCTCCTCCCCTGCTGTCGACCTCCTTGGTGCTGAGGAAGTTGGCACTGCGTCTGCTCCCGGTGGAAGGCGCAACAACAGCAAGGGCAAAGGGGGCAAGGGGGGTGGGGGTGGCTCTGGCGCTGGAGGTGGTGGTGGCGGAGGTGGTGGCTCTGGGGGTGGCGGCAGTGGAGGCGCCGGGGTGGTGGAGGCAACGGGGGTGGTGGAGGCGGCAGGGGTGGTGGAGGTGGCTGGGGTGGTGGAGCAGGTCAAGGTGGAGCTGGCAAGCGTGGAGGCCATGGCGGTGGTGGCTCTGGACAGCAGCTGCCGCACCTCCCCAACCCTCAGCAGCTTCATGTTTAGGGTTGATGCAAAAACTACATCCCTCTTGGCTGGCATGCTAATGTATGGCATCAACCCTAAACACCTTGTCGCGTGGTGTTTAGGGTTGATGCCCTTGAAAACTTTCCATCCGAGAGGGATTTAGTTTTGTGCTTCCTTGCAGAAGAAGCCCGATGAAAACAGTGCGTGCGAGACGTGCGGAGAAGCCGAGTTCTGTGTTAGCACAATAAATCTTCCGCCTTAGAAGCGGATCAGCGGAAAGTGTGCGAAAGCTGAGATGAAAGTCCCTTGAAAGAAAAGAAGCTACAGTAAGCCTTCCGGGGAAACAAAAAACCCACATTCAAATGTCCCATGTGTGAAGAATGAGGAATGAATGAACTAGCAAGCAGGTGAGTACAAGTAGGAAAACCTAGAAGTGTTGTACCTCATATTGTCTACCCCACTATAGCCTACACAGACTATAGCATATGAGTTTGACACACCCCCATAGGCAAAGTGGGGGAGAACAAGAGGTCACAAGACTAGTCAAGCAAAGCAAAGCAAGCTCAGGGTGGATCACAACGTCACCACCCAATCCAAGCACAAGAGCAAGGCCAAAAGGCCAGTTCACATGCAAGATCATATATAAAGGTAAACAAGCAAGTGCAGGTATAGAAAGATCACAGTACAAGCAAGGTCAAGAAGTGAGCAAGTGAGGCCAAGTAGGCACAAGACCTAGCATAGTACAGAAGCGCTGATGATCACCAGGCGGAAGTGCCTTGGTAAAGATATCAGCAGTGTTGGCCTCAGAGGCCACGTAAGCAAGGCGCAGCTGACCACGCTGCTACAGCTCACGAGCAAGAAAGAAGCGGAAAGCAATATGCTTCGTTCAGTGCTCCAGTCTGTGCTCCCGACACAAGGCCAGCATGGCCTTGTTGTCTACGTACAGAACTGGAGGAGAACGAGGCGCCTCTCCTAGGTCAGTCAGCAGGTAGGTGAGCCAGCGTAGCTCCTGTGCAGCCATGGCCCCCGCGTAGATCTCAGCCTCACAACTGGAGCCGAGAACAGAAGACGAGCGGGTAGACCGCCACGAAATAGAGCCGGAGCCAAGGCTGAAGGTGTAACCCTGTGACGACCGCTGCGTAGCCTGGTCGTCAGCCCAAGAAGCGTCTGCGTGACCTGTGAGGACCACAGGACGTCGCGATCCAAGCACTAGCCCCGTGCCCGATGTACTGCACAAGTAGTGCAACACCCTCTTCGCTGCAACCATGTGCTCTGGTCGGTGTCTCCCAGGAGCAACATAGCGTGCCAAGATGCTAAGAGGGTATGCAAGGTCAAGTCGAGTGCAGGTCATCAGGTACATGAGGCAGCCAACAAGCTCAGGGTACGGGCCACTCGGCTCTACGGACTCATCCGAAGGCAAAGCTGAGAGCGAGTGGCGAGTAGACAGAGGAGTGGCCTGAGGCGAGGAGTACGTGAAGTCGAAGCGCTGAAGGACATGCTGCACCATGTGTGACTGGGTCAGGGTAATGGTGTGCTCTGCTCTGTCCCTGGTGATCTGCAAGCCAAGGTAGCTGCGCAGTTCACCCAGGTCTATGCACATGTTACTCTTCTGCAGCTCGGACTTCACGTGGGCGAGTCCAGTAGTGTCAGCAGTGGCAAAGACCAAGTCGTCGACGTACACGAGGATGTAGAACAGCGGTAAAGAGGTGTCGGTGCGCAGAAACAGCGACGGATCGGCTGTAGAAGGAGCAAACCCAAGAGCCGCAAGTGTAGTCCTCAGTGTGTCGTGCCGCTTACGGGGCGCCTGGCGGAGACCATAGACTGGCCGCCGGAGGCTCCACTGGGTACCAGGAGGAAACGACCCAGTGAAGCCAGGTGGGCGGCGCAGCCAGATCTCCTCGTGCAGGCTGCCCTGCAGAAAAGCTGTGCTGAAGTCAAGAGAGTGAAGCTCGTAGTCGCGCTGAGCGGCTATGTGCAGCAGCACCCGAAGAGTGGTCATCTTCGGGGTGGGAGAGAAGGTCTGAAAGTAGTCAATTCCTACCGCTGACTGAAGCCTCGAGCCATGTAACGCGCCTTGAAGACAGGCGGAGAACCCGGCGGCCGCTTCACCCTGAAAATCCACATGCCACTGACGATGTTCGCCCCAGGTGGGGGAACCTCGTCAACGTAGGTGCGTGTGGACTTCCAGGAAGCCATCTCTGCGTCCATGGCTGACTGCCACTGAGAGGAGTAGGGACCCTTGATCGCCTCAGCGTACGATCGAGGAGTCGGGATGTCTGGTGCATCCGGGTCTCCCTCAGGGGCAATCAGCGTGGACATGAGATGAGGCAAAGCAGCAGCAAAACATTGGAACTCCTCCTGCCTGTCCTCAAGGACGTCCGTGCTAAGAGCACACTCACCCCCGACGGACGGAGGACAGACAGACTCAGACTCAGCAACAAGACTAGCAGCGGAGTCTAGACGACACCGAGCAGCGAAGTCGACAAGCTCTGCAACTAGGGCAGACGCAACAGTGGACTCAAAGGAAGGGTCAGTGAATATAGTAGCCAGGAGACGCGTGACAAAAGGACTAGTAGGACGAAGAGAGTCAGGCTCCGGGTCAGCAAGAGTAGGAAGAGAGGACTGTGGAGGAGACGGCAACGGGACACGCAGAGGAGCAGTGGAGGGACGCAGTGCCATCTGGTGTGTGCCTGGGACCGCAGGAGGACGCGGACACGCAGTATGACCACTAGTGCGAGCAGCACGAACAGGCGACGCAGGACGAGACGCAGGCTCACGACGCTCAGAAAGACTTCTAGTAGGACCAGTGTAGGGAGAAGGAGCAGGCAGGGGGGAGGTGGGCTATAACTGTGACTGCGACTGGACAGGCGGTGGACACGCTAAGGGAGGGGCAGGATCAGTAGAAGGCGGAAGACCAAGAACCTGCTCAAGGAGCGGAACGAAGTACGGCCTCGGCCGCGCAGCGCCTCCAGAACCAACAGGGACAGCACCACTACCTCCAGCGGCAACACTAGCGCTAGCAGCACGTTCAGCTCCAACAGCGCCAACCCCAGCACCCTCAGACGTACCAGCGCCAGCAGCACCACCAGCGCCAACACCTCCAGCAGATCCAGCTCTTGTTGCTTTAGCAGCACCAACTCCAGCAGGACCGGTAGCTCCAATACCGCGAGCAGCTCCAGCAGTACCTCCAGCAGCACCAGCAGCAACAGTAGTACCTCCAGCTCCAGCAACACGGCTCCAGCGCTGGGCAAACCACTCGCGCAGCTCCTGCGGAGAGAGTGGCTCCTGCCTCGAAGAAGCACCGCACGAGGCCCCACGAGCAGACCCAGCACCCCCACGCTCAGCACCCCCAGACTCAGCACCCCCGGGCTTAGCACCCCCAGACTCAGCACCCCCAGGCTCAGCACCCCCTGGCTCCGCACCCCTAAACTCAGCACCCCCAGGCTCCGCACCCTCAGGCTCAGCACCTCCAGACCCGGCACCCGCAGGCTCAGCACCTCTAGCAGCACCAGAGTCAACAGCTACCTCGACAGGCTCGACTGCGTCTACCTGGGACAAACATGACGGGGCAGGACCCTGAGGGGGGAGGGGGTCTACCGGGGGAGGACCTGGCGCAAGGAAGTGCGGCGGCGGGGGGAGGGGCGCAGTGCGGTAGGGGAAGAGACGGTAGTAAGGCACTGACTCGTCAAAGGTGACGTCCTGGGAGGACAGAACACGGCGCGAGGTGGGGTGGTAAAACTGCCAACCAGGCGCGTCAGGGGGGAAGCCAAGGAAGACGCACGGAACAGCACGGGGGGACAGCTTGTCCGCAGACAAGTCGCGAACAAACGCCCGAGATCCCCAGACCCGAAACGTAGACGCATCGCCAACCTTCCCCGTCCACCGCAGGGTGGGGGTGGTCTCTGGCAAGGAGACCTGGGGCTGCAGGTTGAGCTGATGCGCTGCGTATTGAACTACAAACGGCCACAGAAAATGGGGGGCAGCCGCATAGATCATGGACGTATGAGCAACGTCCATGACCATGCCAATGCGGCGCTCATCAATCCCATTTTGCTACGGAGAGGCCAGAAGCGTAAAGGTCTGGCGGATGCCCTGTGCTCGAAAGAAGGCTCCCAGATGGGAAGAGGAAAACACCCCACCTCTGTAAGAGTGCAGACGCAGAAAAGGAAAGTCTGAGCCGAAACTCTCTCTGAGCTGGAGACGAGCTGCGCGGATCCAGTCGATCAACACCTCAGTGACGTCGCCCTTGCTGCGCAAGGGGAAGACTGTGGTGTAACGCGAGTAGTCTTCAACCACCAACAGGAAGTAACGCTCGTGCCCCTGTCCACGGACGCGGGTGAGGCCCCACACGTCCATGTGAAGAGTCTGAAGCGGAGCCTCCGTCGGAGGAAACTCGGAGGAGTGAGGGGCGGCGCGCTGTCGCCCCTCGACGCAGGGGACGCAACTAGGGGCGGGCCCCGGAGGTAGGGGAGGGAGAGACCGGGGGAGACTAGAGACAAGGACACGGGAGGCCATGCCTCGAAGGCGAGGCAGCGAGGGGTGACCAAGGCGGTGGTGCCAAAGGAGAGTCTGGTGGGACAGGAGACGACACGAGCAGATCTCCCCAACGAGAAATCTCTGACGCCTCAGGGAACTGGTGACGCCATGCGCCCGTCAGGCGGCCGAAGCAGCGCTGGGTGGAGTGCAGGCCCCCGCACTGCTCACCAGCACGGTCGCCGGTGCGGAGAACGTAAGTGCAGGGACCAGTACCCCCACCACGCTGACGAGCAGCGTACCACTCACGAAGCTGCTGAGGGGACAGGGTCTCACGACTGCGCTGCTGCTGCTGGCGCGGACCACCACCAGACCCACTCCTCTACGTAGAGTCGCGAGCAGCTGCACCGCCGCCGCCGGCGCCTCCGGCGCCGCCGCCACCTCCGGCGCCGCCGCCACCTCCGCCGCCTCCGCCACCTCCGCCACTTCCGCTCCCTCCGCCACCACCGCCGCCTCCTCCGCCTCCACTGCTGCCACTGCCGGCGCCACCCCCGCCACCACTCCCACCACCACCCCCACCCCCTCCACTGCCTCCACCACCACCTTCACCGCCCCCGCTAGCCCCTCCAGCTCCCTTGCCTCCCTTGCCCTTGCCGGTGCGGCGCCTCTTGCTAGGGGCAGACGCAGCGCCGACCTCGTAGAAACCAACAAGGTCGGCAGCAGCAGTAGAAGCAATAGAGGGCAAGAGGGGGGAGGGGGAACACCCCTCAAAGACCGGGGTGCGAGGGTCACCATGAGAGGCTCCTACAGCTACTATGCTCTTCTCTGCTGCTAGGAGGCGCTCCTCGAGGAGGTCAACGGTGAGAGTGGTTGGGCAAACTGAGAGGAAGTGGTCCCTGACTAAGCGAAGAGAGTCAGGGAGCCGGGTGACTATGTAGTAGAGAGTGATGTACATGGGGGGGGGGTTCTTGGCGCAGAACTCAGCAGGGAGCGCAGCGCGGTAGCGAGTGTCACTAGTGCGGAGGTGCGTAATGAGGTCAGCGACTATGGGAAAGGCAGCAAGGTCAGGGAAGAGGTACGGTAGCATGAGGCGGCTCAGTGCAGCAGTGGCAGGGGAAGAGTAGCGTGCAACTACAGCGTCGTACAAGGTCTGAGCACTCTTGTACTGGCTAAAGTGTGCACGCTTAGTGGTCGGTAAGTGGCGACGCACAACAAGACGGGCAGCAGCATCGCGTGTCGCCCACTGTGAGCGAACAGTGCTGTCAGCAGTAGCAGGCGGGGCAGGGGAGGCACCAGAGGTGAGGTTCAAAAGAGAGAGGCCGTCTGTCCTATCGCACTGGAGGAACAGCTGGAGGTCATAAACCCAGACCTCAAAGTCAACAGCCATGACTAGGGGTAGCCATGACTGCAGAGGTCTAGCAAGGGGTGAGCTCATCTGTACGTGTAAGTAGGGCCGGGGCGCGCCAGTAGGACTGGTAGCGGCTCGATAGCAGGGCGACTCGGCGGCTCGGCAGCTGGGCGGCTCGGCTGTCGGGCGACTCGGCGCCTTGGCTGCTGGGCGGCTCGGCGGTCGGGCGGCTCGGCGGTTCGGCTGCTGGGCGGCTCGGCGGCTCGGCTGCTGGGCGGCTTGGCTGCTGGGCGGCTTGGCGGCTCTGCTGCTGGGTTGCTTGGTAGAGGCGGCGTTGGGGCAGCTAGGGGTAGCGATGAGGCCGCTTAGTAAGGGGGGGCGGCGACGTGGCCGCTAGGGGCGGCGACAGGGCCGCGTAGAGGCGGCGTCGGTTCCGCTTAGGGGCGTCGACGGGGCCGCGTAGGGTGGGAGGCGGCGACGGGGCCGCTAGGGGCGGCGAGGGGGCCGCTAGGGGCGGCGACGGGGCCGCGTAGGGGCGGCGACGGGGCCGCGTAGGGTAAGAGGCGGCGACAGGGCCGATAGGGGCGGCGATAGGGCCGCTAGGGGTGGTGACGGGGCCGTGTAGGGGTGGTGACGCGGCCGCTAGGGGTGGCGACGGGGCCGCGTAGGGGCGGCGACTGGGCCGCGTAGGGTAAGAGGCGGCCACGGGGCCGCTAGGGGCGCCGACGGGGCCGCTAGGGGCGGCGACGTGGCCGCGTAGGGGCGGCGACGGGGCCGCGTAGGGGCGACGACGGGGCGGCGTAGGGTGAGAGGCGGCGACGGGGCCGTTAGGGGCGGGAATGGGGCCGCGTGGAGGGCGGCAACGAGGCCGCTAGGGGCTACTAGGGGCCTGGAAAGGGCGGCGAAAAAGGCGCGCCTCGGGCAGGAGCGACTGGCGCTCCGGTTAGAGAGGAAAATTTCAGTGGTGGGCCCAAGGAAGCGTTCCCACAAGGGAACCTGCTCTGATACCATGTGAAGAATGAGGAATGAATGAACTAGCAAGCAGGTGAGTACAAGTAGGAAAACCTAGAAGTGTTGTACCCCATATTTTCTACCCCACTACAGCCTAGACAGACCATAGCATATGAGTTTGACATGATCGCCTCGATCAGAAGCGATAAATAACTTCGAGGAAGCCTGGAAACCAATTTCAGGCAATCGGCGGCAATCAACTGATCGCAATCAGCTGATCGCCCCAACTCAATCACACCCGATTTTCACCCCGATCAAACTCGATTTTGCTCAATCACCCTCGATCAGTTGATTGCATGTGATCGAGGGTCATAACGATGGTTGCGAAATGTTGATCTGTGTCTTATAAACGTCAAATGTTATATCCACTACAGTTTGTTTAGGCTGTAGTGGGGTAGATACTATGAAGTATGATGACTTTAGGGTTTCCTACTTGTACCCCACACTTTTCTTTGTGAAACTATGAGCAGAGGAATGAATTGACTAAGTCAGAGTTGGGTACAAATACAACCCTAGCAAACTGTACCCCATATGTGCTACCCCACTATGGCCTACAAACATGCATCAGCTATAATAATCTGACACACCCCCATAGGCAAAGTGGGGGAGAACAAGGGGTCACAAGACCAGTCAAGCAAAGCAAAACAAGCTCAGGGTGGATCACAAAGTCACCACACAGTCCGAGCACAAGAGCAAGGCCAGAGGCCAGTTCACATGCAGGAGTAAAGACATATATATAAAACTAGACAAGCAAGAGCAGGTATATATATGTCAAAGTACAAGTAAAGTCAAGAAGAGAGCAAGTGAGGCAAGACAGGTACAAGACCCAGCTGGGTACAAAAGCGCTGATGGTCGCAAGGCGCAAGTGCCTTGGTGAACACATCAGCAGTGTTGGCCTCAGAGGCCACGTAAGCAAGTCGCAACTGACCACGCTGCTGCAGCTCACGAGCAAGGAAGTAGCGGAGAGCAATGTGCTTCGTTCTGTGCTCCAAGCGCTGCTCTCGACACAAGGCCAACATGGCCTTGTTGTCTACGTACAGCACTGGAGGAGAACGAGGCAGCTCTCCAAGGTCAGTCAGCAGGTAGGTGAGCCAGCGAAGCTCCTGTGCAGCCATGGCCCCGGCGTAGATCTCAGCCTCACAACTGGAGCCGAGAACCGAAGACGAGCGAGTAGACCGCCACGAGACAGAGCCGGAACCAAGGCTGAAGGTGTAACCCTGTGACGACCGCTGCGTAGCCTGGTCGTCAGCCCAAGAAGCGTCTGCGTGCCCAGTAAGGACCACTGGACTCCGCCCTCCAAGCACTAGCCCCATGCCCGACGTACTGCACAGGTAGCGCAATACCCTCTTCGCTGCAGCCATGTGCTCTGGTCGGTGTCTCCCAGGAGCAACATAGCGTGCAAGGATGCTCAGAGGGTATGCAAGGTCAGGTCGAGTGCAGGTCATCAGGTACATGAGGCAGCCAACAAGCTCTGCATACGGACCACTCGACTCTACGGACTCATCCGAAGGCAGAGCTGAGAGTGAGTGGCGAGTAGGCAGAGGAGTGGCCTGAGGCGAGGAGTACGTGAAGCCGAAGCGCTGAAGGACCTGCTGCACCATGTGTGACTGAGTCAGGGTAATGGTGCGGCGTGCTCTGTCCCGAGTGATCTGCAAGCCAAGGTAGCTGCGCAGTTCACCCAGGTCTGTGCACGTGTGTCTCTTCAGCAGCTCGGACTTCACGTAGGCGAGTCCAGCAGTGTCCGCTGTGGCAAAGACCAAGTCGTCGACGTACACGAGGATGTAGAACGGCGGCAGGGAAGTGTCGGTGCGAAGAAACAGCGACGGGTCAGCAGTAGAAGGAGCAAACCCAAGAGCCGCAAGCGTAGTCCTCAGTGTGTCGTGCCACTCACGCGGTGCCTGGCGGAGACCGTAGACTGGCCGTCGGAGGCTCCACTGGGTGCCAGGAGGGAAAGTCCCAGTGAAGCCAGGCGGACGGCGCAGCCAGATCTCCTCGTGCAGGCTACCCTGCAGGAACGCAGTGCTGAAGTCGAGAGAGTGAAGCTCGTAGTCGCGCTGAGCGGCAATGTGCAGCAGCACCCGAAGAGTGGTCATCTTCGGGGTGGGAGAGAAGGTCTGAAAGTAGTCAACTCCCTGCCGCTGACTGAAGCCACGAGCCACGTAACGCGCCTTGAAGACAGGCGGCGAGCCCGGCGGCCGCTTCACCCTGAAGATCCACATGCCACTGACGATGTTCGCCCCAGGAGGGGGAACCGCGTCAACGTAGGTGCCTGTGGACTTCCAGGAAGCCATCTCTGCATCCATAGCTGCCTGCCACTGAGAGGAGTAGGGACCCTCTACGGCCTCCGCGTAAGAACGCGGAGTCGGGATGTCTAGTGCATCCGGGTCTCCCTCAGGGGCTAGCAGTACAGACGCGAGACGAGGTGAAGCAGCGGCTAGACACTGGAACTCCTCCTGCCTGTCCTCTAGGACGTCCGTGCCAAGGGCACACTCACCCCCGACGGACGGAGGACAGGCGGACTCAGACTCAGCGACAAGACGAGCAGCGTAGTCTAGACGACAGCGCGCAGCAAAGTCGACAAGCTCAGTGACAAGGGCAGACGCAGCAGACGACTCGAAGGAAGGGTCAGTGACAGCAGTAGCAAGGAGACGCGTGACAGTAGGACTGGCAGCACGAAGAGAGTCCGACTCCGGGTCGGCAAGAGCAGGAAGAGAGGAAGCAGGAGGAGAAGGCAAAGGGGCACGCAGAGGAGCAGTGGACGGACGCAGTGACATCCGGTGCGTGCCAGGGACAGGAGGAGGACGCTGACGCGACCCGCGACCACTAGCGCGCTCAGTACGAACAGGCGACGCAGGACGAGACGCAGGCTCACGACGCTCAGTAAGACCTCCAGTCGGACCAGCGTAGGGAGAAGGAGCAGGCAAAGGGGAGGCAGGCTGTAGCTGTGGCTGTGACCGGACAGGCTGCGGACCCTCTAAGGAAGGAGGAGGAGGTGTAAGACCAAGAACCTGCTGCAGGAGCGGAACGAAGTACGGTCGAGGCCGCGCGGCGACGCCAGAAACAGCAGGAACAGCACCAGCACCCCCGGCAGGAGCACCCACTCCAGCAGCACCTCCAGCAGAACCACCAGAAGCTCCAGAACCTCCAGCAGCAGCACAAGGAGCACCGTCAGTCGGACCACCAACCGCAGGCTCAGCGCCAACGTCCTCAGCAGGACCAGCTCCAGGAGAACACTCAGACCCAGCAGCTCCAGCACCCACAGGACGAGCACCGCCAGGTCGCGTGGCAGCAGCGCCCTCCGCAGCCGAAGAACCACCAGCACCAGCGGCACGCCTCCAGCGCCGGGCAAACCACTCACGCAGCTCCTGTGGAGAGAGCGGCCCCCGGTGAGACGAAGCACCCCCAGGCACAGCACCTCCAGGCTCGGCACCTCCCGGCTCAGCACCCCCAGGCTCAGTACCCCCAGACACAGCACCCCCAGGCACAGCACCCCCAGGCTCAGCACCCCCAGGCTCAGCACCCCCAGGCCCAGCACCCCCAGACTCCGCACCCCCAGGCTCAGCACCCCTAGACTCCGCACCCCCAGGCTCAGCTCCCGCAGCAGCACCGGAGTCACCAGTGACCTCGACAGGCTCGACCGCGTCTACCTGAGACACACCTGAAGGGGCAGGACCCTGAGGGGGGAGGGGGACTACTGGGGGGGGACCTGGAACCAAGAAGAGGGGGGGTGGGGGGAGGGACGGAGTGCGGTAGGGGAAGAGGCGGTAGTAGGGTACCGACTCGTCGAACGTGACGTCCTGGGAGGACAGAACACGTCGAGAGGTGGGGTGGTAAAACTGCCACCCAGGGGCGTCGGGGGGGAACCCGAGGAAGACGCAGGGAGAAGCACGAGGGGACAGCTTGTCCGCAGACAGGTCGCGAACAAACGCCCGAGATCCCCAGACCCGGAACGCCGACGCATCGCCAACCTTCCCCGTCCACAACAGAGCTGGGGAGGTCTCCGGTCGAGAGACCCTGGGGTGGAGGTT